TTCAGCGATAGTAAATACTTCTTCCTGGGCCAAGCAGATGGATTGATCATCTTACTCTCAGGCGTTCAAAGAAAACGCCTGCTCAAACACCGGGTTACACTTTGCACCCATCGGCGGATAGATGATCTATCCAGTCGGAAGTAATAAATTCCCCGATATGTTTAGGTCATTTCGTTTGAAAATGGCAGGGACAGGGCAGGAGACAATTTAAAACATTATGCGCCTATATTGTTTTTCACTACCGCTTATAGCGACCACTTGGAGCGCTACTTCAAGTACTTTCTGCTATGAATTTTTAATTTTTTTTTCGAAAAATACAATTGAGGAAAGGCGCAAAATCTTTTCGAATATTAACTCGGAGATTTACTGTAGGTATGTATCTAACAACTTCATAACTGCACAAATTGACAGCGTGCTTACCTCTTAAGCCGCGACCAATACGCTGCTGTCGACGCTGTTGGCGTCGTTCACTGCCAATCGGTAACTGAGCGTAAGTTTCGCTATCGCTGCTGCTGCCGCAGCGCTGACTGTTGACGTTAAATTCGAAGTTGTTGTTGTTATTGTTGCGCCTATTACCAAAGCTGTAGTTGCTGCTGCTACTGGTGCTGTCTGTGCTTGCCGCATTAATATTCGACAAACGCTGTTGCTGCAACAAATGTAAGCGTCTGCGACGACGCAATTGTTGTTGCTGCTGCTGCTGTTGCTGGGGTTGCTCTCCTCTGAGTTGCAATTGTGCTTCAAGTAATTGCTGTTGCTCTTGCTGCGCAACTGTTGGCGCCACATTCTCGCTATATTGCACTAATTGCTGACCTTGCTGTGGATATCTAAGCGCAGTGGGTGGCAATACAACTTCATCATAATCTGCGGCATTACTGTCCAACTGAGCGCAGAAAGGTTGACATTGCGTTGGCGATGCGGCGTACGATGGCCAAGCGCCCGCACTCTGAGCTACAGCGTTTATTAATACACAACCATCAGCTGTACCAAAGCCACCAGCAACGCCCACATCCACACCACTGTGAGGCGTGTAAGAGGGTGGCGGTGTAGCCGGCAGTGAATCGTAGACTGGTGGTGGCGTACGGCACAGCACTCGATTAGCAAAGTGATTCTGTTCGGTGGCGTTGTCTTCGTGGAGGCCTCGTTGGCGCGTCGTCAAGTTGTCTAAAGGATTTGCGACTCGAAGCGTAACAGCGTCGCCGGATGTTGGGGATGACAATGTCCCTTGTTGGACTCCTTGTTGTTGTTGCTGATGTTGTTGCTGATGTTCTTGCCCTTGTTCTTGTCTGTGTCTGTGCTGACGAGTGTGTTGCCCTTGGCGTTCTGCGAATTAAATGGGGAAAAAAGGCAAAAGATAACAATGAAACCGAGTGGCAACAGATTAAAAGAGAAAAAAAGTTGCAAATATATTTAGGGTTGCGCCGTGAAACGTTCGGGGGAGAGGGTGGTGCATTGTAAGTTTTTTGATATCGACCGTTTTACAAGCGATTCCAAGGCAAATACGCAAATTAGTGCAACGAAATATTTTAATAACTCAATTCAACCCCATAGACTGTGCTGAAATATGCTGCGGTGGATACTAAATATTTTGTTGTCTTTGAAGCCTTGAAGCAACACGTATGTACAGTCATTAGGGTGCATCACCAAAAACATTTGCGGCTTTCCACCGGAATAATTATAAAATTTCTAATATATTAAGTCCATTAAACTTATTTTTAATCTATACAGGTTAAGTAAATTGAGAAAGAGGTTTAAGAAGGCTTGCAGCCGAAAAAATATTTTTGTGAAGGTTGCCACATGTTTGAAAATTTTTATTCAATTTAATTGATAAGATAACTTAAATATTGCATTATGGGCATCAAACTGAAGAGGTTTAGGAAAGTTTTTCCTCCGAAAATATTTTTGAGGAGGGTTGCCAACTATTTAAAAAAAAATTATTTAATTAAATAGATAAAATAAACGAAATATTGCAATACGAAAATCATCATCATTTTTAAACATTTTTACGCAGACCTTTTAAGCTTTAAGTCTTCCATTATCTGAGGTGATTTTGTAGAGAAAAATATTTTCAAATCGGTTCAGCTTAAACTTTTTTATAATAAGTTTTATATTTCCGATAGAAAACCCGTACCGTTTTTTTTTGTATGGAGAGTGATCCACCCTAATGCACATGTATACATTTATGCATTTATATATGTGTACGAATTGGATGAGTTGTATATTCCCTTTTAATTGCTAAACTTCAGGTCCTTTGATGGCCTTAAAGTACTCATAATTCTTTTTAATTGCTTTATTTTTATATTTTTTCTGTTAGTCCTTAAGTGGTCCTAATTTAAATTCGCACTTCACGTCTTTACAAGCAGAATGAATTCATTGGTAAATAGCATTTCAACACTTTTGGGTGTCTGTGGTTTGTTAGAAAAAATTATTTCAACAAAAAAAAAATTATATCGACGGATGAGTGGAAGGTCGACCTATCTCGGCAACGGTTCGAAAACGCCTTATTTCAGAAAATGGCTTAAGAGCGCCCTATTTCAGAATTTGGTTGAAGAACGCCCTATCTCAAAATTTGTTTCAAAACGCCCCACCTCTATTGAAAATATATTGAAAATATGTTGATATAGGGCGTTTTTGCAGTGGCAGCTGAGGTAGGGCCTTCTTCAACCAAATTCAGAATAGGGCGGACGCAAGTTTGATTTGTTTTATTATAAAGAAAGTTTCGAGAGGCTTCAGGTGGACAGAACTCATGCTGTATGCAATTTCAGAAGGTTTAGTTTTGTACTTGGCGAAGTGCTTTTCAGTGCCTCTTCGGACGGCCAATTCGTTACCATCAAGAGAGTTTTGCAGAGACGGAAACAAATGGAAGTCAGACGGTGCAAAGTCCGGGCTATACGGTGGATGCATTAAAACTTGCCCAACTCAAGCTCTGTCAATTTGTTCCGAGTAATCAAAGATCTGTGTCAGGATGGAACACAACTACTTTTCTGGGGATACATAAACGGTCGAGTTGTGCAAAATAGAGAACCAAATTGATCGTTTCGCCACATTGCAGCAGTCCATAATAGACAATTCCCTACCAATCCCTGCAAACACTCAATATAACCTTGTTTATCTTAAAGCCAGGCTTTGAAGTCCTTTTTGGAGGGCCATCGGATTTTGGCCTTGATTGTTGGCATAGCTTGTATTTTATCCATTTTTCATCGCCCATACAACTTTTTTTCACGAATTACAGAACTATTTTTATTAAAAATGTCGCCTAAAAATTCACCTTTCAGACGAACGTTTGGTTTCAACACCACCTAGTAAAAAATACCTCGCAAAGAGTGGAGGTTAGGTTATGCTTGCTGACGTTAAGAGGTCTCACATTGACGAATATAACGTACGTAGCGTTGCCATATACGTTTACGACCCACGAAATAGTGGCTAACATCGCCGTTCCTTTAACGAATTTACTAGATACTTTGGTCCTTGTCGATTGTTGACTGCAGCCTCTGCAGCTGTGCCTTGCCGAGATACGTGAGTCTTTGCCATTTGCTAGGCCATACTGTATCCAACAACCCGCAATCGCAGACGGCGGTGAATGGAGGTATAATTTAATTAAGTTAGACCGGCGTCACACATTTGCGTCGGCGGTTCCACGTGAATCCCAGCTGACACATATATGTTGCGCCTGGTAGCGAACATGTTAAAAGCATCTACTGATAGCAAACAATGCTCTGTTATCAATTCTAACAGGAGCCTCAAGTTTGTTCTTCTTGCTGATAGAAGGAAATCAGTAAGTTTCTTTTCGTATGAACTACACATAATCTTTGCTAGTCTGCCAAATTGGCTAGTTCGTTAGCTCTTTCAATATCTTCCACACCCTTGAGTGTTGGGACCTAATATAGGTGAACGGTTTTAGCTGGTGCTAGTCTTTATACATTTTACAGTTTGTTTTAATATGAAAGTAGAGCCTTGATGGCCGCCGGACACTCCATATACAAGTTTATCTACTCTTGCTTTCTTTATTGCAAAGACTTCGGCTTGATAGATACTGCAATAATCCGGTAGCTTAAAGGACCAATGAATTTCTGGTTCGGTGCATTATACTGCAACCCCTAGACCTTCATCCATTTTAGTACAGTGTGTGTAGATTTGTGTAGATTTGCCTTGCGTCCCCTTTCAACTGCACGCACTTACGCCAGCCGTCAGCCTGCATTGTAGCTTCCAGAGACCTTTCGAAATTCAGACAAGGGATCCTATAGTCTATTCGTCCTGTTAAAGATGACGTTAGGCGGCATAAAGCCTCGCGGCAGTTGTAAACGTTATGTTGTTGGCTACAAAGCTCGCTGGTGGCATGTTTAAGGTTTCGCGGAGCGCCGTTGTCGGCACCCGTTATACTGATCGTTGAGAGCTGGTTAACACTCTCCAGTCTTTTAAGGTATGTCTTCTTTTTCATTGCTGTCCACCACATCAATACCCCATAGCTGTGGCTGGCTTAATGATAGCTGAAAGCCCCCAGATGCAGTCCAACATCTTCTTACATGTATACAGTGCTGACGAGGCCTTACTCTCACGCTCCTACACATTAAGTTTCCACGATAATTTACGGTCCAATACGATTCCAAGGTACTTCCTGGTCTCCCATAAAGAACTTAAACCAGCGACGTTTTTATTGGGCACGGCCCAAATTGACGAACGTTTGTAGAGGAAAAAATTAGATAAACGGGTAATTAAAACATAGTTGAAAGATGAGCAATAAAAATCGTCATGTCTTTATTAAAAAATTTTCAGATAAGAAAGGAATAGTATTTTCGGTATTTAGTAAGAACTCTTCCGCGAACTGTTTGCGTAACAACATCAAGATACACGATTCAAATTCGAGAGGAAGCTTATCCAAACGCCTTAAAAAAATGTGAGCGCCAAAGATATTTTTTTTTTTAATGAAAATTTGTAAAATCACCGAAAAAACGTATAACGCGAAAATTTTACTACTCACGCTTATCTGCAAATCAATCAGCTGTAAATGGCCTCAAATCAACCACGCAGCAACATTTTAACGGCAATCAGTAATAGTCTTCACTGCTTCACATAAAAGTATGCAGTCACCGGTTCGACTCAATCGATGTGTTGACATTTCTATCATCGATCAGACAATTTGTCACCGCCGCTTGGTGAGCGAGCAGGTAGCCAAGTGAAAATACAACAACAACGAGTTTTTGCTGTTGTTCTTGCTTAATATAACACAGCTGATCATGTTGCACGCTTGTTGACTGTCAACTATTTATGTCTTTATTTACAACATTTATTGCCTTGGCGCGATACATTGCTGGCCTGCCGCTTTTGGATGCAAACTTTGCTGAATTTGTTATGGCACTGCATTGCTGCAACACAGTACATGCAAGTAATAAACGCCAAATTGCTGCTGGTGTTACGAGCATTGATCAGCAGCAGCAAGCAAGCAGCAGTAGTTAGTGCAGCGCATGAAACCAGTCTACATATGACATACGCGCGTGCATGTAGGCAAATTAGGAAATGTGCAATGCTTAATTAGGTTGCATGCAACATCCAAACACTTTCATTTTTTTGCCATAAAATATATGGGGTGCCATAAATAAGTGAAGCTAGGGAGGGGCGTTGGCTGTAAGAAATGCTGAAATTGGCACGAAAGTAAATAGGTATGCATGTAAATACATACATAAGTATGTATGTATATTGCCGTTGTAGGCGGATGCAAGATATCAGCGCTTGCTAGTGGTTGCAACTGCTCTCTTGTTGCGGCTTTGTTGCTGCTTGTTGCACATTAGTTCCGCGAAAGCCGCTCGTCTCAACTCCTCATCAAAATCACGTAAACTCCATTAAAATTTCGTGGAGGGGCAGAACGAATCATCATGATTATCATTAATAGGCGCTGCTGCAGCGGCAAAAGCAGCAACAAATATAATAACAAAAACTATTAACTACATTGTTGCGGTGTAGTGACGTTGCTCTCACAACAGACAATGCACGAATAATAGAAAACAATAACACATTTAGCTTGCAACACACATACAGTGACGAACAAAATTATTTGGACTGTGAATTTTTCGCAATATATGCAAAAGTTTTTTTTTTGCTAATTTATTTTTAATAGTTTTTTTTATAAAAAATATGGTTCATACTACACCAAAAAATATAAAAATAAAATCTCAAATTTTTGTGAAAAAACACAGGAAAATTCTGTAAATTTGCATACCAATTTCGAACTTTCTATTCAGATATTTTAGAAAAATTCTAGGTATGCAGTTTTATAGCCCATTCAATAGCAAAGTTCAAGTTTGAAGTTGCTAAAAAATAGCGGCAAT